CATAGGTAGAAACTGTAAACAACTAAAATGTAATGATCACCAATACAAGATCTACAAGAACCGCCAACAAGACCGAACCCTTGGCAGTCCCTGTCTAATACAAATTGCCTTTGAATTTTTTTTTCCAACAAGTATCTATTATCTCTAAATATGTGATGAAAAAGAGTCAAAGGTAGAAACTGAAAAATTATCAGCAATACAAGATCTACAAAAATGCCAAAATAAAGTATAGTGTAAGGCAAGACGTTATGATTTCTAGCTTTTGATTTCTATTATACTAATAAGCAAGTGGAACTGAATGTGTCCCCAATAATAAATGTCGTCAGCGGCGTATATAAGTTCATGAATAAATCTTTCATCTTTTGGGGGCAAATTAATTTCTTGGGTTTAATAAATAAAAACCTTCTAAGAGCCCGAACCCCTCACCTGTCTAAAATTGAAATAATAGCAAAAAAACGCGAAATTAAGTTACAAATCGATATTTAAGGGCAAAAACTCATTTTATACGGAGGAGGGGTTTGGAAGATTCTCTGTCCTGAATTAAGATTAATAAATTATGCATATCTGAAAAGTTTTGATTTGTTTCTTCAAAATATTTTTTTTTTATTTCAAAAAGGTGAAAATGATATCAAAATGGCATATTTTTGACAAGTTCATGATTCAGGCCCCCTAAAGCCTCCAGTTAACCTCAAATAATTTTATCTAGCACTACACTTCAGTATAACATGTTTCAATTTTGAACCAAATAATAATTGAGAATATATACACATGACTGCAGTTCCATTGTCTGCTTCAAATTGATTCATTTTTTTAGGTACTATATAATTGCATGTGCGGACCAAAAGCTTTGGTTGACTTGTTTACCAACTTTGTAAGCATCGGTAAATAAGAAATACATCTGAAGACAATAGATGGACAAAACTTCGATCTGTATACAATATACAAGGATTCGAATGGGCAATGATATTACCATGTTATATCCAGACCTTAAAAAATCACATTACAATACACATCCTATTCAACTGTTGCATCACTGCAGAAAATTGAATTAGGGAGAAAGAGGCCGAAGTTAAAAGGGATATGGGAAAATGATTTAATTTATTATTAAAGTGATGTTTCTGCTGTTGGAAAATTCTTATTCCCATCAGTTATTATATATTTTTTTGTTTTCTGTAGACTTTTTAGTCTTTTTCAGCTGGAAATTTCTTGTTCGAAGAGTTTTATTGTAATTAAAAATGGTTCACTTTTAGTCGAGCACAAATGAATGAATGCCATAGTATTAATAAAGGGAATTCGAAAACATTAAAAGGTGTTACAGTTTCAAAACACTCCCCAAAATTATAACTCTGTAGACAAGATTTTCTGGAATATTTCATGCGTTTCATATTGACCTCAGACCATCAAAAAACCAACCGTAGCAAGCGGATGTCGAACAAAGTCCCAAAGAATGTTTTTTGACTTTAGTCTATCAAAAACCAATAAAAAAGCGGACGCAAAACAAAGAATGAATTCGTCTTTAGACCATCAAACACCAATCAGAAAGCGGACGAAAAACAAAGAATGATTTTGGCTTTAGACCATCAAAAACCAACCACAAGGCGGACGCAAAACATATAATGATTTTGATTTTAGACCATCAAAAAGCGGACGCCAAAAATAGTTAATGATTTTGATTTTAGACCATCAAAAACCAATTAAAAAGACGAAGCAAAACAAATACTGATTTTGACTTTGGAACATCAAAGACCAATCATTCCCAAGGGTGACTCCCGGGAATAAAAATATGGTCACTATAGGTCTTCTTCCGACCGGCAGTAAAACCCTTGCTAAAGTGGGGGCGTCCGTTTGGCTGTGCGGGATGTATCAAGTACGCAGCCACGTCCGGTCAGAATGGAGACATTAAATCCGATGCCTCGTGTAGAGAGAGTGTAACGATCTCTACACGTTAAGAACCCTTCGAACAACTCTTTGAGGGGTCCGTAGGTGGCCTGTTGCAAGGCTAAATTTCTGTCCCTATCCAATATACCCTCATTTTCCCATGGCAGTCCAAATTTTCCCGACCTGCAACCCAGTTGACCTCTATTACCGGACCTACCTATTGTATTTATTTTTAACTTGTTCTCGTCCTGAACATGCACAAAATATTTGCCATTGGACGTTAAGCAACCAACAATCAATCAATCAATAAAAAACCAATCAGAAAGCGGACGCAAAACAAACAATGGTTTAGTATTTAGATCATCAAAAAATTTTTACCAGAAAACGGACGCAAAACAAAGAATGATTTTGATATAAGACCATCTAAAACAATCAGAAAGCGGACGCAAAACAAAGAATGGTTTTGACAATAGACCATCGAAACCCAGTCAGAAAGCGGACGCAAAACAAAGAATGGTTTTGACAATAGACCATCGAAACCCAGTCAGTAAGCGGACGCAAAACAAAGATTGATATTGACTTTGCAATGGGACGCTAAAGTAACAAAGAAAATAAAAAACTTTGGCTCTAAAAGATATCTTAAAGTAATGATTTTTACAACAGGGATGCTGCATACGAAACGGGATATGCTTGCGGTTCCCTGAGTACGTATCATAATTCCTGTGTTTTGTGAGTTTGTACAACTCAAGTATTCTTTATTGTCTGTTGCTTATGAAAACATTTTGATTTATTATTTGCTTTTCTTTGTTTTACTAGGATTACTCTTTTAGTCTAGTCGTTGAAATGTATATGCGTCCCACATTAGTAAGTTATTACGTTCAACTCCAAATGAAGTATTCTGAAGTGGGTGTGTAATTAACAGATATCCGATAGCTTCACATTAAAAATTCACTTTGCATTAAAAATGCAGACAATTTACAGCATGATGGGTATAAACAGTGAATGCATTGGTATTACTGTAATATCCATTTGCCTGTCAATCACTCGTATTACTCTGTACTAGAAGATCATTAAACATCTGTGAAGGTGGTTTCTCGTAGACATTTATATTCTTGACGAAACATGTTGCTTTTCTATTTGTTTATGTCTGGTTTAGCAAGAAATAATTGTTCTTTCCAAATTAGTTTTTAATATATGTAGAATTATAAGAATGTTAGATCTGTACGTAGGCTCTGCTGGAAGTACATTGGTTATGATTTATGTATATGCTTTTATTTCAACCAAGGCTAATTGGTACACATAGCATGCATTTTTAAAATCTTGGTGAAATAAAAAATATATCATTCTTAACAAGGCAAGTACAAATGTATGAATTAACATGGTTCAAACCCTTAATTTTGTCTTCAGTTCTTATATTTAATTGATCATAAGTAGAAGATACGAGCTTATTTCCATTTAAATAGTAAAAAACGTATTTTATACTCATAAACACTAAAAAATGCTAAAAATGTTTCCATCAGACTGTCAAATATATGTATTTGAATTGATAGTATTTTTTACGTTATAGCAAAAACTGTCAAAATACATTTAGTCTCATTTTCTTTGAAATAAACATGGCACAGCCTTACCGAAAAGCGTATTTTCATACAAAATGTCATACAATTTCAACACATTTATGAACCCTAAAGTGACATCACAGCTGAAATGTCTACACTGAATTGTCAAGACCATATTATCCTTTTAATTAATTTATCAATAAAATTACCCATCTTGAAAGAATTTTAGAATTTTTAGGGGCCAGATAATGACTCCTCCCTTTACACGTGGATCAATTGTATATTTCATTATTTAACAAGGAGATTATTGAAGCAGTCTTGTTGGAAGGAAAAAAAAACTAAAAAAAAAAAAAAAAAAAAAAAACTAGAAGGGATACCAAATATTTTAAATCCAGAAGACATTCAAGACATTGACATTTGAAAACTTATCAGAAATTCCAAATCCTAAACAAGACCATGACCAACCAAAACCAATAAATGACCCAAAGGCCGAAACAATACTGAGAATTGCGCTGAGAAATCATGACTGCAGTTCATTCAAGATTTGGACCACATAATCAAATAATAAACCAAGCATACAATACAAAACTGATACAACCAAAACCCTTTAGAAATTAGCCAGAAGATATAGAAAATAATATCAACATCCATCAGAAATGCTAAGTACTTTAAACACATTTGTAAACCATCCAGAATTCAAGTGGACCAACATGACAAATACAACTCAAAACCAATAAATGGATTGTGAGGATGACAAAGACAAAAACAAATCAAAACCAAACAGAGATCAAGAAGGACAAACCAGACCAACAAAACTTTGGAACCATTCAATAACAACAAGTAACAACAAACCCTAACCAGCCAAAAATGTAAATACAAAATTGAAAACAAGATTGCTATCGAGGTATCGATTATTGGGTTTTCTGCACAATGATATAAAATATCAGGCACAAGCCACAAGTGAAACTTTTTTGTCAAACGAGTGCGGTGTCACTGATAACTTCTCTAAGGCATTGTGACGTTCTTCTCACGGGTCAAAGCTGTGATATAAGAATTACAGAGTGACTGAGCAGGGTGATATAGGAACAGGGAAAGATGATAGAAGCCAATATTCCCCTGCCTATGTATTGAAATTTTTAAAATCACCTGTACTTTCATCGGGCATAACTTTCTTTAAAAATAATCAATTCTCACTAATTTTCAACTAAATCTCGGATCCTTTGACATTCCACTTTGCAGCAGGGCACACACAATAAAGATTGGTAGAATAAAGTGCAATTACCAATTATTAATACTTCATAAACAATAAAATTTAAAGTGGGTGATGTTAGGTGCTTTGAAGTGTATATCATTCACTATGTGTATTCCATTAGCTTTAGATGTGGTATATTTTTTGTTCTAAAGGATTATAGTAAAACTATATCACTGTCAGTAAAAAGATGTCTTGTAATGTTGCCAAATGAATCAACAAAAGTATGTGCATGTAATTTATTTCTTAACCAGAAGGTATTTTAATACATATATCTATATTTAGTATATTTTTTTTACATTTTTTCTCTTTTTCAGGAAGAACAAAAGAAATAACAGTAAAGAATCTAGGATTTTTTAAATGAAAGTTTGACTTTTATATTTTTGCTGTTTGGATTTGGCTAAATAAAATATTTATTCAGAGTCAGTAATGCCTACTTGTCTGGCCATAAGACAACTTCTAAGCTTTAACAATATTGATATGAGGATGATGGATGACAGTTTAACATCCTGTGCCAAATCATAAACATATTCAGGACCAGAACATGATATGACACGCCGAGTCGGATAGTTAAGGTGCTAGTTCCCAAGGGTAACAGTCCACAGGAAGACAAGTCACCCTACCCAGACACATTATTCTGATTCCAAACCGTCCAGTCTTTGCTCTTACTCCTTTATGCGGCGTGCTTAGCAGAGAAGCAGCAAATTCCAATTTCAAAGTCTTTGGTTTGACTGAGCCAGGGTATGAACCCACAACTTCCTACACTTGAGGCAAACATGCTACCATGAGACTATTGAGGCTGTGTAATAATATTATTAACTAGAGGCTCTAAAGAGCTTTTGTCGCTCACCTAGGTCTATGTGCATCTTAATCAATGAATAATCTCTAACATTCTAGACTAGAATATTATTCATGACTAAAAATATTTTTTATTGAACCTGTATTGCTGATAATTTTTTCTTTTAATAGTTTCTATCTTCTATAGTTTTTGCCCAAAACACAATAAAGTGTTAAAAATCGTCATTTAAGGGCAATAACTCCTATAACAAGCATTCTGAGAGTATTGCATGGTAATACATAGTCCCCTACCAGTTAAAAATTCATTGTCCTGGAACAAAATTGAACTTTAACTTGTCATGGTGTAAACTATATAACAAATAAAAAGTCAATATCTTCAAGCAGGATGCAAAAAAAAGTGTGGAAAACTGATTATTTAATTGAATTTTCAGAGTCCAAGGACTATAACTCTGCACAAAATCATCAGACCAGAACAAAATTTGAATTTGATCTGTAACTTGTCATCATAAAACTATATACCAATTATCAAATCAATATCTTTAAGCATGACACAAAAAAAGAGGAAAACTGATTATTTGAGTGAATTTTCAGATTCAAGGACCATAACTCTGCACAAAATTATCAGACCAGAACAAAATTCGAACTTGATCTGTAACTTGTAATGACAAAACCATATACCAAATACCAAATCAATATCTTTAAGTACGAAGAAAAAAAGTGTGGAAAACTGATTTGCCGGACTGACTGATGGACAGACAGACGGACGGAGTGCAAACCTTAAGTCTCCCTAGTCAAGGGGACTAAAAAGACAACTGACAAATTCATCTACATGTTAACTGAGCTGTTTGCAGATCTTTTCTTGCTGATCATATTTGCTTGTAAAAGTTTCCATCTATTATAGTTTTCAAGACAATAGGCAAAAAAGAAAAAATGGTAAAAATCCTCATTTTAGGGCAATCACTGGTTGGCAGGCAGGGTCATCAGACATGGTTTTAATTTTGTCCAGTAGTTTCAAAGGAGATGATCTTTGTAAAAGTTAACTGACTACGGATGCCAAGCAATGGCAAAAGCTCACACTGGCCCTATGCGCCCAGTGAGCTAAAAAGGGAGGGAAACATTAAATTCCTATGAAGAAAAAATAAATTGCTTCGCTGATTGCAGCTGGATACGACCGCAGAGGTCCAACAGTTGGGGCAAAAATGGATGCAATATTCGCGCTTGATACTGGTCTGAATTTGGATTGTAATTAAATATTTGACACAAAAAAGGTTTCTGACAGAATAACTGTAGTCAAAGAACTTAGAATTGGTTATATGATTTGAATTTATATTCAATTTTTTGCTTTTGTGCAATACACTTTGCTGTTGTGAATTGACCCTCCCTCCCCCCACAACAAAAAATGAATAATTTACCCCCCCTTTTTTTGTCATTTTGTGCAATACACTATGCTGTTCCATATTAACCCCCCCTTTTTTTTCAAAAAAATAAAAATATTTGAAGAATTTTTCTTTTTGATTTCTGAAATCTGAAATGAGAAAAAATTGACCCCCCACAAATTCTTTTTACCCCCCCCCCCCCCCCCTTTTTTACCCCAAAAAAATTCTTTCCCTCGAGATATGGTCTTAATCTCAATTCAAATTTCCAATGGAATTTGCAACCATAATTACCCATTTAAACTTAACATAGTGCTAAATCTATTTTTTTGTAAAAAAAAAAAAGATGCAACATTTGCAGATATTTTTACTGGTCTTCCTTTATAAATATGCATTTCTTTAAACACAATTTAAAAGCAGTGTAAGGGAGTTAATCAAAACGTTGTATTTGGTTTACCTCCCTTACACTGCTTTTAAATTGTCTTAATTGCTCATTAACTATTACTTTATACATAATTTAAAAGCAGTGTAAGGGAGGTAATTCAAATGATGTATTTGAATTACCTCCCTTACACTGCTTTAAATTATGTTTTGTACTAAAGTATTTGTCTATTAACCAGGACACCCTTGTTTTTCCCCCTTTTTTGCCCCTAATTCCTAAACGGTTTGAGCCATAAACCCCCAAAGCAAATCCTAACCATCCCTTTGTGGTATGGAAACTTGTGGTATAATTTCAGAGAATTCCATACACCTTTCCACAAGTTTTTGTCTGGAAACTAGAAAAATGCTTATTTTTTACCCCTTTTTGGCCCCTAAATCCATATACTGAAACTAAAGTTATTGTGCGAAAACCAAAGTGTCTTCGGACGACGCCAACGCAGATGAATATACCACTGCGGTCGTATAAAAACTATATTAGGTCATTGACAGGCATTGATGATATTCCTGAACCGAATTATGCGAATAGGTTATATTAGTTTTGTGAGCACTCAAACAAACCTCCCCATTTTACTTATTCTTAAAGGTCACATGACAGTAAAATAAATATGATATACATTTTTTTGCCAACATCTTTCTTATGATCTTTTATCAGCAGCAGGTAAGCTCCAGGCCAAATGTTTAAAAAGCAAAAATGTTCAGAACTAGAGGGTACAAAAACCAGTCAGGGGCTAAACAGAACAGACAAAACAATGATAATTCTGCCAAGAAAACGGACCCATTCAATAACAGTATTCAGATGATAAAATACACTGCTACATGACAGATAATATGAGTAACAAAGACAGTTTGCTCATATCTTTTTAATTTCATTGCATTGTTGCATTGCTGTCTGATTGGACATATCTTTGTTCTATGGTCTTTCTGGATAGTTGTGTCATTGGCAATCATATCATATCTCCTTTTTCTTATTTATTTATACTACATTTCCTTTATTCCTAATGTAAATATTGAAAGTAATGTTAAAGTTCTTTATCTGTTTAAATGAAAATATGCTTTCCCACAATCCAAAACCAGACACTGTTTCAAAATAGACAATTGTGTGGTTATGTCACTTTTTTCCATATGCATAATTGAGTAATTTTTGAAAAAATAATCTACAAAACAAAAAGAATATATTTATAAAGATTCAAAATATGCAAATACAAAACAAAACATTTACATTTAACTACAGCAAACATTACAATTCCTCCTTTTTATAAGCCACAGACAACTGCTGTCGTAATGAGTTAATGTTTTTATGAATTTGTTGAAAGTAATCTCCATCATCTTCTCCTACCGCCAAAACAAGATATTCATCTTCTAGTTTACTAAGATATGACACAATATTATGAAATTTCTTTTCACAACAGTCGTATAAAGATAACATGGCAAAAACAATCTTCTCTCGGCTGTCATGGTCTGGTAGTTCTAACAATGGCACCATCGTATCACAGAAACCATGGTCTAATAAACTGTCTTTCAGTGGAATTCTAAAACAAACAATATATAATGAGGTTAAAAACATAAAATAAGAAAATGTTTATTTATCACCTCCACAACAAAGTCAGTAGAGAACGACAATTATACCTGAAATTTTTAAAACGCTATGATTTACACCTGAAAATATAAAAAACTCATATATGAATAACTCATCACTTCTCAGATATGCTAATGATAACACAACAAGAATGATGCTGACCGAATATGAAGTCATTTTGTTTAGTAATTACTAAATATTTGTTGGGCGAACAGATGGACAAGGTGATTTTAATATAACCACTATTTCTAGAGTGGGGGTATAAATTGTAAATAGAAATAGAAACTAGAGGCTCTAAAGAGCCTGTGTCGCTCACCTTGGTCTATGTGAATATTAAACAAAGGACGCAGATGGATTCATGACAAAATTGTGTTTTGGTGATGGTGATGTGTTTGTACATCTTAATTTACTGAACAGTTTTCCTGCTTACAATTATCTCTATCTATAATTAACTTGGCCCAGTAGTTTCAGAGGAGAAGATTTTTGTAAAAGATTACTAAGATTTACGAAAAAATGGTTAAAAATTGACTATAAAGGGCAATAACTCCTAAAGGGGTCAAATGACAATTTCGGTCATGTTGACTTATTTGTAGATCTTACTTTGCCGACATTTATTGTTTTTTACAGTTTATCTCTATCTATAATAATATTCAAGATAATAACCAAAAACAGCAAAATCACCTTAAAATTACCAATTCAGGGGCAGCAACCCAACAACAGGTTGTTCGATTCATCTGAAAATTTCAGGGCAGATAGATCTTGACCTGATAAACAATTTTACTTCATGTCAGATTTGCTTTAAATGCTTTGGTTTTTGAGTTAAAAGCCAAAAACTGAATTTTACCCCTATGTTCTATTTTTAGCCGTGGCGGCCATCTTGGTTGGTTGACCAGGTCACGCCACACATTTTCAAAACTATATAACCAAATGATGATTGTGGCCAAGTTTGGTTTAATTTGGACCAGTTGTTTCAGAGGAGAAGATTTTTGTAAAAGATTACTAAGATTTACGAAAAATGGTTAAAAATTGACTATAAAGGGCAATTACTCCTAAAGGGGTCAACTGACCATTTCGGTTATATTGACTTATTTGTAAATCTTACTTTGCTGAACATTATTGCTGTTTACAGTTTATCTCTATCTATAATAATATTCAAGATAATAACCAAAAACAGCAAAATTTCCTTAAAATTACCAATTCAGGAGCAGCAACCCAATAACGGGTTGTCCGATTCATCTGAAAATTTCAGGGGAGATAGATCTTGACCTGATAAACAATTTTACTTCATGTCAGATTTGCTTTAAATGCTTTGGTTTTTGAGTTAAAAGCCAAAAACTGAATTTTACCCCTATGTTCTATTTTTAGCCGTGGCGGCCATCTTGGTTGGTTGACCAGGTCACGCCACACATTTTTAAAACTAGATAACCAAATGATGATTGTGGCCAAGTTTGGTTTAATTTGGCCACGGAGTTTCAGAGGAGAAGATTTTTGTAAAAGATTACTAAGATTTACGAAAAATTGTTAAAAATTGACTATAAAGGGCAATAACTCCTAAAGGGGTCAACTGACCATTTCAGTCATGTTGACTTATTTGTTAATCTTACTTTGCTGAACATTATTGCTGTTTACAGTTTATCTCTATCTATAATAATATTCAAGATAATAACCAAAAACAGCAAAATTTCCTTAAAATTACCAAATTCAGGGGCAGCAACCCAACAACAGGTTGTTCGATTCATCTGAAAATTTCAGGGCAGATAGATCTTGACCTGATAAACAATTTTACTTCATGTCAGATTTGCTCTAAATGCTTTGGTTTTTGAGTTATAAGCCAAAAACTGCATTTTACCCCTATGTTTTATTTTTAGCTGTGGCGGCCATCTTGGTTGGTTGGCCGGGTCACGCCACACATTTTTTAAACTAGATACCCCAATGATGATTGTGGCCAAGTTTGGTTTAATTTGGCCCAGTTGTTTCAGAGGAGAAGATTTTTGTAAAAGATTACTAAGATTTACGAAAAATGGTTAAAAATTGACTATAAAGGGCAATTACTCCTAAAGGGGTCAACTGACCATTTCGGTTATATTGACTTATTTGTAAATCTTACTTTGCTGAACATTATTGCTGTTTACAGTTTATCTCTATCTATAATAATATTCAAGATAATAACCAAAAACAGCAAAATTTCCTTAAAATTACCAATTCAGGGGCAGCAACCCAATAACGGGTTGTCCGATTCATCTGAAAATTTCAGGGCAGATAGATCTTGACCTGATGAACAATTTTACCCCCATGTCAGATTTGCTCTTAATGCTTTGGTTTTTGAGTTATAAGCTAAAAACTGCATTTTACCCCTATGTTCTATTTTTAGCCGTAGCGGCCATCTTGGTTGGTTGACCGGGTCACGCCACACATTTTTAAAACTAGATACCCCAATGATGATTGTGGCCAAGTTTGGTTAAATTTGGCCCAGTAGTTTCAGAGGAGAAGATTTTTGTAAAAGTTAAAAGTTTACGGACGACGGACGACGGACGCAGGACGACGGACGCAAAGTGATGAGAAAAGCTCACTTGACCTTTCAGGTCAGGTGAGCTAAAAAAATATATATATATTAGGGATGTCAACTCAGTGAAGATTTAGTAATCGAGTACTCGTTGGATTTACCGAGGGATACTTGAGTACTCGCTCAGAACAACATCTACAAAATGGAAACACAAAATCATACCCATTTTACGTATTGTGGATCGTTGTCTTATGGACATAAAACCCTCAACATTATTACCTAGGACTAGATAACAGGCCCAAGGATTTCATACCATAATTTATAGTTCATTTACTACAAGTACTAATTATATAAACTGGCAGTTATTTAATCAATTGACCAATAAACATCTATAGACAAATGATTACTTAAACAACAGTATTTGGGAATTGTAAAAATACACATTTAATGATCAACAAAGGGGTGATGATTAGAACTTACTGATGCCTTTAACCATTTTCTGAGGGTCGACACAGGGTGCAACGAATTTGTTCTTATTTAGAAATATTATTTTATTTGATGCGACCATAAACTACCTTCAACTGTAACTTCAACCTACCCTAGACTAAAACTTTAATGGATGGAAGACAGACAGACTAACTTAAGCGATGCATAAAATTGTTTTCTGCAGATAACACTGCAAGTTAAGATTTAACATCATTTATCCTAATACTGTAAAAATATCTGTCAGACTGTTCAAAGCAAACTATAATTTTATAGCTGTTTTGATTGACTAAGTTTAAATAGCTACTGCTAATAGTACTATATAAATAAAATAAGGAGATGCAGTATGATTGAGAAAAATATCCACTAGAGTCCAGATGATGTGGATTTAAGCAACTATAGGTAACTTGTGTAAGAAACTTAAGATTTCCCTAACTAAAAATATCAACTGTATTTACAAGAAAAATGATAGAACATTAAGTGAGCAAGCTCATATAAAAACTACGCCTCTTACATAATAAATATGGTATAATTTTACTGTTCCCACTCTTGACGAATTAGAACTTATCCATGGTTATGATTTGTTGAAACCTTAATCCAGACACTCTAGGGACAAGAAATTTTATGTATTCTATGTTACCCTCCCCCCCCCCCCCCCCCCCCCCCCAAAAAAAAAAAAAGGTTTCCATTTTCAGATTTTTCTGGTCATCAAAATCATTCATGGGTTTTATGAGTGGAAATTTAAAATTAAAAGAGGATCTGACAAAAAATGAAGGCGCAAGCATGGTCACATCAAAGTGATGATGGTCGGATGGGTCAAAAACATTATCATGGCCAGGATACTACGTCACATGCAGGATACTTTTTTTTTTCATACGAAAACAGCTCGCTTCAAGGCATGTTGACACAGTTTTTTTTACAACTTATACTCTAATTGGTTATTTGGAGTAGTGAGTATAAGTTGTATAAAACTGTATCAACTTGCCTTGAAGCAAGCCGTTTTCCGATGAAAAAATAAAAATGTATCCTTGCATGTGACGTAGTATCCTGGCCTTGATTATACTATGTGCATGTGGTATAAAAATGCTTATAGTAGAATTGCTACCAATCTAATCTTGAGCAAAATTACAGTGCATTTTTTCAAATTATGACTTAAGACAAAGATATTCTGATCCACTAGAGCAGAAAAAATGTAAACTTACTGTTCATACTGTTTGTATTTCTCTTCAGTTGGTGCTAAATGTCCTAACCAATGTACCTACAGAAATATTTGTTCATATGTTACTACAGCAAAATAAGTTTAAAGTTATTCAACATTTAGATTGTATGTCATTAAGCATATACATTTTTGGTTTCTTGATAGGCAAAGGGAGATAAATACCCTTTAATATGACTAACATTCCTTTTTTAAATACAAGAAAAATATTATTACGTCAGACATGTATATTTAATTGGAATTTGATACTGCACATACAGATAACATTTCTTAGTAAAAAGTGGTCAAATCAATTCAGGTAATATTTTGAATTAGTAAGATATTAGCCATGTTTGGTTTTGAACATCCTTCATGTTTCAGAGCAAAAGTTTCTTTTTTGAAATAAATAGGTTAAATATGTTTTGTTTTGTAGACTGTTGTTTGCCTTTCATATTGTGTCATAATGTCAGTTTGTCTTCCACTTATGAGATTGAAAATCCATTTGGTATCTTCCACATCTCCAGAGTTCTCGAAATCTTTTTTTTCCCTGGTGGTCCTTGAAGAAAATCTGCTGGTCCTCACTATTATTTGTATTGCAAAATACCAAAAATGTGTTGGTCCTTTGCAAATTTTGGTGGTAAAAACCTTCGGACCACCACTTTTCGAGAACTCTGCATCTCTTATAAACACAGATGACAAACATCAATTGATAGCAAGAAATTACTTTTAATCCGACAGTGTCAATTTATTTAATATTTACCCTTTCTTCATAAAGATCACTCATCAATGTGATAACTTTAACCTGTAAACTATGGAGTTTATTATCCTCAAACAAATGCATCAATGATCGTAAACCTCCAAGCTCAAAGAACTTCTTCTGAGCAAAAGGGAAATGTCTAACAATGCTAGAGATAGCATACAACACTTTCTTTTTCACTGCAATCACTGGATCTGTAGCCAATGATCTGATCAGCTGATGTAAAGCACCAGACTCAATAGCATTGATCTGGGTTTTAGGATTGCTGAAAAACAGAATTTGTATTTTACAAATAAGATATACATTATCAGGGACTATTCATCTAATCAAAATTTGAGTAAAATCCCTGTGAATTTTTCAGGATATGACCTAGGACCTACATTCACTGTCCCTGATATGATCTATATTAATCACTACAGTTGTTTTTTAAGGAATTCTTTACTTTTTTTCTATAAATAATGTCAGTTAATAGTTATTAATTTTCAATTTATTCATTTTTCGAAGGTTTTACAAATGTGAATATGTAAAGAGTTATTGTTACAGTTTTGTAGACATTTTGCTTCAAAATCACTAATCAAATGTTGAAAAAAGAGACATGAGAAAGGGGAGATAATTCATTTGTGTTCAAACACAAAAGAGTAGAAGAAAAATAATGTTTCTTTAAACAGTTAACAGCATTTATTTGTTTTTCACGACTTCCATATGGCATTCACACTACTTCTCAATTACAGCAATTTATAGACACTTGAGACAACAGACTTGAAAAAATTAAATATATGATTAATGTCTTCAAAATGCAAATCTTTTTGTATCAAGTACTTACTTTTGAATTGCAGAACCGAGAACAAATGCAGACAATGATCTAAGTGTTGGATCTGTGTGATTAAGTCCTTTAACCAACAGAGAAATCCCTCCTAAATCACCAAACAAAACAGCATTGTCATACTGAAAGAAATGTAAATTTAAAATCAGTTTTTCCTTGCTACATGTTTCAGCGCCTGTCCAAAACGAAATATTTTTTTCAAAGTTATGGTCGATATATGTTTATTGAGAAATTGGCTGTTCAAATTAGATCTGTGGTAATTTACTGATTTCTAATACATGTGTATACAATCAACTTATATTTGTTTAAATTCACTATTTAATTTAAACCTTTTTAAAAATATTGGTTGGGAATGTTTCAATCATTGAAAATTGTTATGGCGGTCTTTTTGTTGACTGCTGTTTCATTGATGTTTACCTGCATAAAAAGAACCTCCATGAAGGCTATACACCAACTTAAATAATCTTGTTTTGTTATTACATAATATCTACAATTTTGTTAACTGTGATAAGTCTTTCAGGTTTTTAATAAATTATCTTTTATTTTTTTTACACCTGAGTACAAATCAAAATTTTTTTCTTTATTTTATTATCAAAAGAATTTAGCCTTTATTTTCAAGATGTAAATGGTTTAAAAATTTGCTTTAAATCCCTATAACTGTAGTTTCAAAATTAAGCAAAGGAGGAAACCCATTTTTTCCCAGCATTTTGTTGTGACCTTCAGGTTTATAAATATTTGCTAATGATTTATGATGAATCATTGCATTACATGTATCTGTTGCAGAAAACCAGCAATGCAATATGCTTAAAAATACCTGCCAGTAATGTCTCAAGAGAAAACAATCATAGCAATAATGGGTCACATTTCATATTTGTTTTTTTATTAGATACTCAATTTTCTAAAGAAATTTGGATAACAAATCAGCAAAATGATATATTATGAATGACAATGAAAATATACCTGGTGTAGATGATATTCTAAGTCCTCTAGCAAAGTCTCTCTGGCCTCAGTTGATATGTTTGTGGAATTTAATTTTTCAAAAAGCTCTGTTACAATTTCCTGTCCAGTCTTGATCCCCATGTTTATCTTTCTAAAATCATCTTTTAATTCATCATAACTTCTATATTTTTTTTTTATTTCTTCTGCTTTCTAAAAATGTACAAAATATTATGCAAATACTGAGAGGCTTTTAATGAATACAATATATATAAATTACCCAAAGGAATAGATGATGGCCTTCGCCATATCTGTCCAGAATTTTTGGTTTTCAATGTTCTCCAACTTTATGCTTGATTTAGCCTTCCAACTGTTTTGATTCAGGCGCCACTAATGAATTATGAAGGCAAAAAAACCCAAAAAAAACCATATGTCTAGCGTACAAAACTATAGGCCTGGTATCCTTTGATGAGTTTTTACCATCACTGATGAACTATCATTTTCTGTAAATTAACTGTTTATTAAATGTTGAATAAATTGTAACAATAAGGTTTGTTTTACCCCAAGGCATAGATGGCCTTTGCAGTATTTTGCATCATTTTTTGTTTTAAGGAAAACAAATCCAATGGTTTCCTTCATATTGGCTTTTTAGTATATTTTTTAGCTGTTTACGCATTTTATCTACATTTCATAGTTATTGAAAAAAAAAAGAGACAAAAACATTAAAATTTGTACAACAAGAATGTGTCCATAGTACATGGATTCCCCACTTACAACATCATTTTCTATGTTCAGTGGACCGTGAAATTGGGGTCAAAGCTCTAATTTGGCATTAAAATTAGAAAGATCATATCATAGGGAACATGTGTAATAAGTTTCAAGTTGATTGGACTTCAACTTCATCAAAAACTACCTTGACCAAAAACTTTAACCTGAAGCGGGACAGACAGACAGACAAACGGACGAACGAACGAACAAACGGATGCACAGACTGAAAAACATAATGCCCCTAGGTGGGGCATAAAAATCGTCATTTACAGGAAAGAACTCCTTAAGGGGCCACCTAATGGTTCCATCATTATGGCTTTTATAGATCTTGTTTTGTTGAATATTTCTGTCTATAATAGTTTCTAAACATCTAATATAGTTTTTGAGTGAATACACAAAAACATGAATATTTGCCAAAAATCGTCATATAAGGGCAATAACTCCTTAAGGAGTCATCTGATTGTTTTGGTGCAAACAGGAATAAAAACAAGTTTAAACTAGATACCCTATGGGCCAGGAAAGTTTAAAAAGAATTCAAATTGCTCCTGAACTGTTATTTCAGTAATATGGCTTGATAGTGTCTCCTAACGGCACGCTAGCATGTGTTCATGGACCATGACCGGGTTTAAAAAGAGGAATTGCACACCATTCAACTTTCTGAAAACACTAACTTTTATCATTTATATAAATTGAAAAGGTATAAAGTTAATGTTTAAAGTATTTTCAACATATTGAGAAATGCAATTTCTTTTTTCAACTAGCATACATATGTTTTTTTTAAGTTTTGTGTTGCTGCATACTTTTTTCACTTTTCATAAAAAATCACCTTTTCAAGCAACATGGACAGACATTTACAAATGAATAGTCAATCTCACCTTTTCATCAGGAACATCATGCTTTGTTGCTTTGAAGTCTTTCAGAGCTCGCTTTAATTCTTCATGTGTAAACTCTTTGCTGTCAGTGTTGACCATGCCTAGAAATAAATCCACTCTCCACTTAGATTAAATGATAGTTTAATTTTTTGGAAGTTGAAGTTGGAACATGAAAACCATATTCAATTTCCATTATATGCATCCCGTCATAGTTTCAACTGCTATTTAAAGCTTAGCATTTCATTCTAATATAAAGCAGAATTCATATTCATATCACACTGACATGTTCATATCCTGAATATTGTTGAAAAATCGTATACTGGAATTTAAAATATTCCTCAATCTTGGTGTAAACTGTTATGTAAAAAATCTGTGTCAGCGTACTGGTCTTTCACAAAGAATGGTCATACTGTGGATTCAGTTATTTTTTGTGGGTTCCTATTTTCATGAATTGGGGAAAAATTGTATTTTCAAGGATATTTGAACAGTTGAACGACTAAAATCTGTGGTTTCCTTATACATGTTATACAAAAAAAATCCACAAAAATTGGTATCCAACCACAAATAATCAATCTATAGAATTTATAACACAGTGACATTTTCTTGCCCTGAATATTGCTAAATGATAATACACATCTATTCATTAATTTGTGTACTGATTGATTCACCATGATAATAAGAAATAAAGTGGATTGACTTCCAAGCAACTAAAAATACCAAAAACTAAATTCTTGCAAATATCATTGCTTTTCATGATATTCATCTTTTTCCTTTAAATTATTTTTCTTTTGGTAAATGTTTTGAATTAGACTAAAATTTTGTCAATAGTCCCCTACTGATCAAGACATCATTTACTGTTAAGTTACATCTGCACAGAAATATGCCTTCAATGGACATGTAGGATAACATGCCCCACTTGTTCAGTGAACTGTGAAATCAGGATCAAAACTGTAATTTTGCATGTAATTTTAAAAAGCTTACATCACAATGAATATGTGCACATGTACTAATATTCACGTTGATGCAGTATTTTTCAAACAATCAAATTTCCATGTTCAGTGACCCATGAATAATTTGCATATAATTTAGAAAGTTGAACAAATTTACTTAGTTTTAATTGATAAGTTGATTTGACTTCAACTTCATGGTAAACTCCCAAAAACCTTTAACCTGATATAAGACAGACAGAATATGGGATGCATAGATCAGAAAACAAAATGCCCCTGTACTGTTGTAGGGCGGGCATAAGAATATCTTGACAAATGCAGATACATGTATATGATTTCACAATTTTTCTTAATTCTTCATTTTGTAAAGAATATTTTTTTTTGCATTTAGATACATGTTCATATCTTATTAACTTCATAAAATACAAACCCGATACCTTGCAAACCAATTTTTGCAGAAATAAAAATTCATGAAGATTACTTTCAGAAAAAACTAGATATCATTGAGATGGGAGCCATCTCTGTGGGCCCCGCTGTGAATAATGTGTGGTAAAAAATTTGTATCTTTATCATTGGACATAGGGTTGTCAAATGAAACCAAAGTTTTTGACCTTGACCTTTGACCTAGGAAGTTGTACATAAATTATGACACACCCTCTGGTGTTGGTTTATATACATATCAAGTATAAACTTTGAAATCATAACTGTTCTCAAGATATAGAGTGGACACGATCTTTACCATAGGACATGAGGTTGTCAACTAAAACCAAAGTTTTTGACCTTGACCTTTGACCTAGGAAGTTGTACATACATTATGACACACCCTCTGGTGTTGGTTAATATACATATCAAGTATAAACTTTGAAATCATAACGGTTCTCAAGATATAGAGCGGACACGATCTTTACCATAGGACATGGGGTTGTCAACTAAAACCAAAGTTTTTGACCTTGACCTTTGACCTAGGAAGTTGAACATACATTATGACACACCCTCTGGTGTTGGTAAATATACATGTCAAGTATAAACTTTGAAATCATAACGGTTCTCTAGATATAGAGTGGACACGATTTGTTACGGACGGATGGACGGACGAACGGACAGACGAACGGACGGACGGACAGACTGATCACTATAGGGCGGCCGCTATTCGGAGGGGCCCTAATTATATATACATGTATTAACACTTTATAAGTTTGGCGTGTTCAAAGCACTTTTCTGGATTTATCTTCATCAGGAATGATCAAGCCCAACATTTTGAAAGTTAAGGGTGTTTATTAAAGCACTTGAATACGTGAAGAACTATATGAACAAAAAGACCCTAAAAGGAATAGCCAAATCAACCTAAGGTCAACTTTGTCTGAGGAAGTGGTAACCCAAGTAACCCTAAAAGGAATAGCCAAATCAACCTAAGGTCAACTTTGTCTGAGAAAGTGGTAACCCTAGTTACCTTAAAAGGAATAGCCACATCAACCTAAGGTCAACTTTGTCTGAGGAAGATGTAACCTTAGTATCCTTAAAAGGAATAGCCAAATCAACCTAAGGTCAACTTTGTCTAAAGAAGTGATAACCTTAGTATCCCTAAAAGGAATAGCCAAATCAACCTAGGGTCAACTTTGTCTGAGGAAGTGGTAACCTTAGTATCCTTAAAAGGAATAGCCAAATCAACCTAAGGTCAACTTTGTCTGAGGAAGTGGTAACCCTAGTAACCCTAAAAGGAATAGCCAAATCAACCTAAAGTCAACTTTGTCTGAGGAAGTGGTAACCTTAGTATCCTTAAAAGGAATAGCCAATCAACCTAAGGTCAACTTTGTCTGAGGAAGTGGTAACCTTAGTTTCCTTAAAAGGAATAGCCAAATCAACCTAAGGTCAACTTTGCCAGAGGAAGTGGTAACCTTAATATCATTAAAAGGAATAGCCAAATCAACCTAAAGTCAACTTTGTCTGAGGAAGTGGTAACCTTAGTATCCTTAAAAGGAATAGCCAAATCAACCTTAGGTCAACTTTGCCTGAGGAAGTGGTAACCTTAATATCCTTAAAAGGAATAGCCAAATCAACCTAAGGTCAATTTTGTCTGAGGAAGTGGTAACCTTAGTATCCTTAAAAGGAATACTGTAAATTCAGAAATTATTGCGATGTTTTTATTATTGCGAAAAATGCGAATGGGTTATAATCGCAATAATTTAAACTCGCATTTTGAAATTTTTTATATGAATTAAACAGAATTTTCTCAATATCGCAATAATTAAAATCGCATTTTAGTCTAAAATGACAAAATCGCAATAATAAATGCACGCAATAATTTCTGAATTTACAGTAGCCAAATCAACCTAAGGTCAACTTTGTCTGAGGAAGTGGTAACCTTAGTATCCTTAAAAGGAATAGACAAATCAACCTAAGGTCAACTTTGTCTGAGGAAGTGGTAACCTTAATATCCTTAAAAGGAATAGCCAAATCAACCTAAGGTCAACTTTTCCTGAGGAAGTGGTAACTTTAATATCCTTAAAAGGAATAGCCAAATCAACCTAAGGTCAACTTTGTCTGAGGAAGTGGTAACCCTAGTAACCCTAAAAGGAATAGCCAAATCAACCTAAAGTCAACTTTGTCTGAGGAAGTGGTAACCTTAGTTTCCTTAAAAGGAATAGCCAAATCAACCTAAGGTCAACTTTGCCAGAGGAAGTGGTAACCTTAATATCATTAAAAGGAATAGCCAAATCAACCTAAAGTCAACTTTGTCTGAGGAAGTGGTAACCTTAGTATCCTTAAAAGGAATAGCCAAATCAACCTTAGGTCAACTTTGCCTGAGGAAGTGGTAACCTTAATATCCTTAAAAGGAATAGCCAAATCAACCTAAGGTCAATTTTGTCTGAGGAAGTGGTAACCTTAGTATCCTTAAAAGGAATACTGTAAATTCAGAAATTATTGCGATGTTTTTATTTTTGCGAAAAATGCGAATGGGTTATAATCGCAATAATTTAAACTCGCATTTTGAAATTTTTTATATGAATTAAACAGAATTTTCTCAATATCGCAAAAATTAAAATCGCATTTTAGTCTAAAATGACAAAATCGCAATAATAAATGCACGCAATAATTTCTGAATTTACAGTAGCCAAATCAACCTAAGGTCAACTTTGTCTGAGGAGGTGGTAACCTTAGTATCCTTAAAAGGAATAGCCAAATCAACCTTAGATCAACTTTGCCTGAGGAAGCCGTAACCTTAGTATCCTTAAAAGGAATAGCCAAATCAACCTAAGGTCAACTTTGTCTGAGGAAGTGGTAACCTTAGTATCCCTAAAAGGAATAGCCAAATCAACCTAAGGTCAACTTTGTCTGAGGAAGTGGTAACCTTAGTATCCCTAAAAGGAATAGCCAAATCAACCTAAGGTCAACTTTGCCTGAGGAAGTGGTAACCTTAATATCCTTAAAAGGAATAGCCAAATCAACCTTAGATCAACTTTGCCTGAGGAAGTGGTAACCTTAGTATCCCTAAAAGGAAAAGCCAAATCAACCTAAGGTCAACTTTGCCTGAGGAAGTGGTAACCTTAATATCCTTAAAAGGAATAGCCAAATCAACCTTAGATCAACTTTGCCTGAGGAAGTGGTAACCTTAGTATCCCTAAAAGGAAAAGCCAAATCAACCTAAGGTCAACTTTGCCTGAGGAAGTGGTAACCTTAATATCCTTAAAAGGAATAGCCAAATCAACCTTAGATCAACTTTGCCTGAGGAAGTGGTAACCTTAGTATCCCTAAAAGGAATAGCCAAATCAACCTAAGATCAACTTTGCCTGAGGAAGTGGTTACCTTAATATCCTTTAAAAGAATAGCCAAATCAACCTAAGGTCAACTTTGCCTGAGGAAGGGGTAACCTTAGTAACCCTAAAAGGAATAGCCAAATCAACCTAAAGTCAACTTTGCCTGAGGAAGTGGTAACCTTAATATCCTTAAAAGGAATAGCCAAATCAACCTAAGGTCAACTTTGCCTGAGGAAGTGGTAACCTTAATATCCTTAAAAGGGATAGCCAAATCAACCTAAGGTCAACTTTGCCTGAGGAAGTGGTAACCTTAGTAACCCTAAAAGGAATAGCCAAATCAACCTAAAGTCAACTTTGTCTGAGGAAGTGGTAACCTTAGTATCCTAAAAATATCAACAGAAAAATTAAGAAAGGTATGTTATAAATTATATCAGTGCTGAGGTACTAACTATTGTATGAGCTGATGATAACCTCAAAGACTAGTATCCACTAGCAGCGTTATTGACCCAGTGCTTGAAAATGAAAAGAAATCTCGAAAAAGCAATTTGGTGTGTATGAAGTAAGTGTTGAAAAAATAATTGATTAGGGGTCATGACATTTTAATAAGCCCTCCATATATATTATATTATGATTTAGTAATTTCTGACTATTACATCACCTATGTTGTCCTGCTGAGACTTAATTTAAAGATACTGAGCTTTCATAGCTTTCTGAAATTGCTGGACACCAGATAAATATTTTGGACAGATCCACTGTGTTTTTGACAAAAAAAAATCCTATTGTGATATTGTGACTAACAGCAGACTTTTTGAATATCAATATTTTATTAATTATTAAAAGATTTTCTATTAGAAATGCCTTTGGATGCTCCTTTTACATTTATTATAGCATTCAGGAAGAACTAACATGACAATAAAACAATTTTAATGATAATAATAAAACATGCATGTTACATATATATAACAATAACTTCTACAGTCTTGCTCAAAGCTAAGCTAATTCTTTACTGCATGTAGCATCATGTCCTAAATGCAGATGATGTATAACTGAGATTAAAAAGGTAACAATTTGTAATCAAAGTGCTAGTGAGCACTGAAGGATAAAGATTGCATTCCTTTTGCAGTTGAAACTAAAATTAAACATTGCATTGTATAAGTATTAGAAGGCAATACAATGGATTGGAGGTATAACTGTAAGCTACAATCAACCATTAAATATTATGGGTGCAGCCATTTTATGACGATAACATGGTAATCAGAATTAAGAGTATGGCTAATCCTGATTGGTGGATGTGTGCAGCCAGTATTTTTCATTACTAGACACTTTGTGCACTGAGCATTATATCAAAAGCAAAATAATATATTTTCCTTAGCTGTAACGGAACTGAGAAGTCTTTTCTACGCTGTGATGAGACACATGTTTTTAAGTTCAAAATTAATAGGCAAGGGAGATAAGTACAAATTATGTTATGAAAAGCAACAGAAACCTATGTTTTTAAAAAAATACTGTCCTAATAATTTTTCTATAATTCTGGCCAGGTTTTGTTCTAAAAATCAACTTTCTATGGGGATGTTAATTATTTTTTGCAATCTGTAATTGTGGACTAGGGAAGATAACTCCAATTTCAAATATTACTTTAACACTGACATCATTGATATTTTCAGAATATATATACAAGATTCAAGCAACATGCACAATTAATTCAATATTCTTGATGAGTATGGATATACATATACACAATTTTGTTAATCAAAAAATTGAAATTTCATCGGAATTTTTTTTCAAATGTTCAAGGATGGGTTATACAGAATGTTGTGCTCAATGCTCTATGTTTTGTTTATCTCAAAAGTAGTCATTACGTTTGGAAAATTGATAACTATCAAGCCAGTCACATAAGGGTTTGGATTGCATGAATGCAATCTTCACCTCCCAAAAATATAAAAGCAGCCTTAAAGTACTACAGATCTCTTCCTTTCTGTCTGAGAATTTCAAGGAGACTTGTCTTTCTTTTCGCAACATTTGTCTCCCTTTTAGCAATATTTGTTTCTCTTTTAGCAATATTAGTCTCTCTTTTCGCAACATTTGTCTCTCTTATGACAAGATCTGAATGTCTTTTGACAAGTTTTGTTTTTCTTTTACCTAAAATATATAAATCTCATTCAGTTTATCAATATCAAGTGTTTTTCTAACTTAATTATAAAAAATGTATATCAGTTGTATAATCATCCCTTAATCCATTTAAAATTTCATTTATTTGCTGTAAGACAATTTGTATAGGATGTTGCTGAACACAGGACATTTTTGAAGTTCAATGGAAATAAATGTGGAATGTGTCCATGGGACACAGATGATGCCCCCGCTTGCATATAATATAAAATTATAAACGGACATAACTGAAGAACGGTAAAAGTGACCCTACCCAAATTTGTCCTTGATCTGAGTTTTGTGGTAATAAGTATTGTGTATAAGTTTCATAAAATTTGGTTGAGGCAAACTAAAGTGAGGGAACGGAAACGAAAAATTCAGCAATTTTTCCATTTGTAAAGGGGCATAACTCTAGAACAGTTAAAGTGACACCAACATAATTCTAACTTGATCTGTATTTTGTGGTAATAAGCATTGTCCTTCAATTTCATAGCATTTGGTTGAGGCAAACTAAAGTAAGAGAACGGAAATGAAAAATTCAGTAATTTTTCCATTTGTAAAGGGGCATAACTCTAGAATGGTTAAAGTGACGCCACCAACATTCAAATTTGATCTGTGTTTTGTGGTAATAAGCATTGTGTATAAGTTTTGGTTGAGGCAAACTAAAGTTAGAGAACGGAAACCAACTTTGGGACGTACGGACGGACAATCGTACAGACGGACAAGGGTAAAACTTAATGCCCCTCCGCTTCGGCGGGGGGCATAAAAATTCATGCTTACCAATGAAAGAAATAAATGCAAACAATCCAAGTGTGAGCATCCATTATAAAATCTACACCTACTGAATTGGAGATTTCTTTAAGCCACTTTATATGGCACAAATAATAAACTGAGTTACAAATTGACTTTCTGCTAAGTGACTTTAACATTCAGTAGAGTAGAGTGTCTGGATGGTGGAGTAATGGGAAGTATGATATACTGTAAATTCAGAAATTCTTGCGTGCATTTATCATAGCAATTTTTGATCAAATGGACAAAAATATGAGATTATTTATTGCTATTTCAATAAATGCTGCATAGAAATAACGCTATCAGAATGTGAAATGTGAGGTTTTTTATTTTTGCCATAATGTGTCACAATTTTTTGCAATAATTTCTCAATTTATAGTAACAAGATAATATGTGGAACACTACTCTACTACAAACAAGACATGCACTTTGACAGTAGTAATCACCAACAAGACATGCATTATGACATTTAAATGCAAAAAAAAATAAGAAAACAAAAAATTCAGTAAGTTTTTTGGATAGTGCTGATATAAACCTTGTAAACCTTTTAATAGAAAATCCATCCAGAATTATAATGATGAGAGGGCCTACAAGACAATTTATTTTTTGACATTTTTGAAAGGCACTGGGTTTCAAACTCTATCTAAATATCATGGAATCAATCTTTAATATAAGTTTTATCAAAATCTGTAAAGAATTGTAAGGGCAGGAATAATAACAAGGCAATTTTCATATCATTTATATATTCAAGAAACTTTCTATAAGTACTGCTTTTTGTACTCTATCAAAATACATTCAAGAGCAGAGTACTTACATGAAAAATTTTAGCATAATATTTCTAAGGAGCAAAAACAAAATTGTTTACACTGTTTTTCAATCAAGACATTGTGAATTTGAGCCTCTAATATATTTTTCTACTAAAACTTATAAAAAAAGCGTTACAGTGACAGCACATAAAAGGCTTACAGACTGCAGACATCCATCATGTATATGTTTACTTAATGAGTTGCTCACCTTGGTCTATGTGCATATTAAACAAAGGACACAGGTGGATTCATGACAGCATTGTGTTTTGGTGATGGTGATGTGTTTGTAGATCTTACTTTACTGAACATTCTTGATGCTTACAATTATCTCTATCTATAATGAACTTGGCCCTGTAGTTTCAGTGGAAATTATTTTGTAAAAATTTACAAAATTTATGAAAATTGTTAAAAATTTATTATAAAGGGCAATAACTCCTTAAGGGGTCAATTGACCATTTTGGTCATGTGACTTATTTGTAGGTCTTACTTTGCTGTACATTATTGCTCTTTACAGTTTATCTCTATCTATAATAATATTCAAGATAATAACCAAAAGCTGAAAAAATTTCTAAAAATTACCAATTCAGGGGCAGCAACCCAACAACGAGTTGCCTGAATGGTCTGAAAATTTAAGGGCAGATAGATCTTGACCTAATGAACAATTTTGTTTTTGAAAGATTTGCTAGAAATGCTTTGGGTTTAGATATATGAGCCAAAAACTGCATTTTACCCTATGTACTATTATTAGCCATGTCGGCCATCTTGGTTTGAGGGCGGGGTCATCAAACACAATTTTTAAACTACATACCCTAATGATGATTGTTTACAACTTTAGTTAAATTCATCTTAGTAGTTTCAGAGGAGAAGATTTTTGTAAAAGATAACAAAAATTTACGAAAAATTGTTAAAAATTGACTATAAAAGAGCAATAACTCCTTAAGGGGTCAAATGACCATTTTGGTCATGTTGACTTATTTGTAGAACTTACTTTGCTGAACATTATTGCTGTTTACAGTTTATCTCTATCTATAATAATATTCAAGATAATAACCAAATAAGGCAAAATTTCCTTAAAATTACTAATTCAGGGGCAGCAACCTAACAACGGGTTGTCCGATTCATCTGAAAATTTCAGGGCAGATAGATCTTGAGCTAATAAACATTTTTACCCTTGTCAGATTTGCTCTCAATGCTTTGGTTTCAGAGATATAAGCCAAAATCTACATTTTATCCCTATGTTCTATTTTTAGCCATGGCCGCCATCTTGGTTAGTTGGCCAGGTCACCGGACACATTTTTTAAACTAGATACCCTAATGATGATATTGGCCAAGTTTGGTTAAATTTGGCCCAGTAGTTTCAGAGGAGAAGATTTTTGTAAAAGTTTACGGACGACGGACGCCAAGTGATGAGAAAAGCTCACTTGGCCCTTTGGGCCAGGTGAGCTAAAAAGGCTAAACGCACTCCATCTTACAAAGTAAAGTCATTTTAAGATTTTCAGACCAGTAAACAGATATGGATTTTTTCAGTTAGAAACATATTTCACATGCTTTTAAGAATGTCCCTCAGGTACATGCTAGCTGTTCTACAGTGGAGACTATATAATGCTACCTTCTTTTTCTCCTCTTTTCCAGTACTTGTGTCCATCATCACCATCCATTAATTTGGCTTCATTCTCTCCAGTCTGCATATTCATTCTGATGTGTAAACCTGCAGGAATTGCTTGACCTGAAAACAACTGGAAGTGATTACTTTGAAGATATATTCTTAGGGTACCAATGAACGTGATATTTTGTTGTCCAGACTTAAACTGTAAAAAGTTATACTCAACTAAAGGCAGGTTTTCAAATAATTTGATATGTGAATGCAAAATTCAAATTTCCATGAATCATTGCTTTTCCACCATAACAATAAAAAACTTAAATTTAAGATTAAAATTACTTTACAGCAAATTGATAGCGATTTCATTTGAATGAATAGATATAAGCATGATAAAAGTAATTTCATAAATAATTTGAGCATCTTCCTTGTCTTACAGAACAGCAATAATATGTAAAAAAATGCCTATATCATATTATTTCATACATTGAATTTGCAAAATGATATTTATAAAAGAAAGTAAAGGTTAGTTCAGGATTTCCCTACATTTGTGTATCTACCCTGATCTCTGTGTACTTAAAGATTCCTACCTTAAAGTTTTCATTGATATTTTTGTACAGAGATTGATCACATAATTTAACAAGTAAAGAGAAATCTAAAATGTAAAATATCTCCATAATTATACCTGGCTGTATTTTCTTCCAGTCTTTTTCTGGATAAAACACATTTAATGGGTCTACATTTGTAATCTCTGAATCTTCATTCTCTACAGCTACCTCACCTAAAATATAAAATATTTACTTAAAAATGAGAAGATTAGATTTGCCAATCCTATTGAAATGGGTTTCAAAATTACTTCTTAAATTTGTCTATCTACTTGTTTATAATCTACTTACCTTACTACTTTGAGAAAATAAAGCTATTTTTAGTAATATTATTCCAATTCTACAGGTTATACAACAACTAAATGAAACTAAATAAAATAGCAGAACATTTTTTTCACACAAAATTATGACCGTTGACTAGCAAATTTCTAAAATGATATACAACACAACCGAAATTTTTATAAAATAAACCATAATATTGACATTAACTATTTTTTACAACATCCCCCTTCAAGTGACAATAAATTTTTTGGTCCAAATTTTGTACTTGTCAAAGAAATATCTTAACTGTCATTAATGATTATGAAGGCAAAATCAATTCCTTGTGTTCAGGTTTACGTTTCTCTGGAATTGATGTGCAATCTTAAGTATGGGATTGATTAAGAAATAATTCATGGGGGCTTGAATATATCGTGATTTTACCACGGGTTGGCCCTTTATGACAAATATTTTACCCTGAGCGATAGCGAGGGGTAAAATATCAGCATAAAGGGACAACCCGTGGTAAAATCACGATATATTCAAGCCCTCATGAATTATTTCTATTCTAATAGGACAAATACGGCAATTCTTTTGAATCGAAGCGCTCTAGGTGAAGGCATTATTTGCCGTTCCCATAAATAAACGCACTTTTAAATTGACGTAAAAGAACAGAGCAAACTGAATAAATGGCATGCTGAAACTATTTACAATGACATATTTAGATAGGTTTGAATGAATCTAAATGATAATTGTATTTATATATCTTATATGGAAACAAAAAATGGCTTATATAACACATTTTAGCATCGTTTGTTTACGTTTCCTTGTTGTGATGATTTTCGGTTTCACAAGCGTGTATTTTCCCATAAAATGCTTATATTCTTACGTCATCGTTCTATGACGTCGGATAGCTCATTCATAAAAAAGCATATGACGCGGGAGAACGATCAGAACAGCCCAAACAATATATTCATATTTTACCACCGGTGTGTACTCAAAGCGTTTGAAGAACGTCATGTTAGAATACTGTTTTCACACCCATAATTGTGTACAGAATATAGACATATTTTTTTACCCACTAAAAACCTCTCCTTAGATAGTTTGTGACTAAAAGACAGAGAGCTCATAAATAAATATCAGGGGTAAATTTATAATTACTGTTTTCAATTACCCTAATTTCACCTTTGCTCCCAGATTTAAAAGGAGATGTTAAGGTGCACCTATTTTATTTATTGTCTCTCAGTATCCTGAAATAGATAGGTCTCCTCTGATTGGTCCATGTATCAACAACATAATTGTACTCGGATTGGCAAATACTGTCAAATTGGCTGTAAATAAGTCAGAAAGGGAAAATAAGTTGTCTAATGATTTTCTTCAACAATTTGAGTGCCCTCTTGGTATCGTCTCTCCATTTCCCCCTATTGTCACATTGGTTAAAGTGAAGTAATAGAATGACAAGTATGTTTTTTCAAAAATTTGATGGAAAAACCAGATAGATAAGTTATTAATTTAGGTCTTACCATTATCATCATCAGTGTCTGTGTTAACAACAGTTAGTGCTCCTGGTGCATGCTCACTGCTTACACACATATAATAACAGCAGATCAAAAACAACACCAAACTGGTTATATTAAATGCTCTAATACTGTTCACCAAACTAAACATTTTCTACCTGAAAATACATTGTGTATATTCTGAACCATATAAGTATTTGGACCATACATGTATGGCCATGACCATATGCATATACTCATATGGTCCAACCATTTGTGAAGACTTCATAATTATTTGGACTACAAATGTATGTAAAAAATGGATGCATGATTTTCCAACCAAATTTTTACTCATCACTTTTCCAACGGCAAAATGTTCACTATTAACTCTTAAACTAAACATGATTTGTATTAATTACAAGAAGTGAGCTTTTTTATTCGAACAATTTTCCTACAATAATAAATGTAGTTTTTAAACTGATAAACAATTGTAATGGTGGTCACTTTGTTTACTTGTTAATTATACTATTTATATGGGGAAATTGGTTAATATTAGTATTATTTATAGTTTCGTAACTCTTTCTCCCTAGACCGGCCATGTAATTATTCTTGTCAGGACGGCCTGTTTCTTACACATGCCTGACATCCCGGCCGGGCTTTGTGTCCCTGGGAACTATAAGTATGACGTCACTCACCGGGTTCAGGGCAGTCTACAGCTTAGGATTTGAAATGAGTAGACGCTGATACTTTGGCTTGCAGATATGGAACCTCTATAAATACTCTATATATACAACAAGTAGACTATCCGCCACTTATATTATATTTATTGTATGTAAACTTGTGTTCTGAAACCATATATGTCTATAAAATAAACATCTTGTTTATATACGTAGTTACTTGTCCAATATCCCAGAACTTGGGTAGACAACGGGAAGACAACGAAGTCAGAAGGAAAACTCACTCCTGTTACACAATGCTAACAATTTTGATAAATTAAAACCATCATGGCTCATGACACTTTCTTCTACTACATGTATTATATGGTATCTATAATCTACTATTCATTATAAAGTTAACATGTCAGCATCTACTCCAAATAATTATGACGTCTTGAAGGGCTATTTTTATTTTTTGCTGCGATGCCTTCCTACGTAGCCTTTCAAGACGTCATAATTATTTGGACTAGTAAGCGTCATACATAAGTGTCAATAGTGTGCTAATCAAATTATAGGGGCTTTACATAAACTGTTTCTACCAAGTTTGCATTGCAAAAACTTTGGCCATAATAAGATTTGTACTGCTTTAAATAAAAATCACATTCAAATCCCATTTCAATCACAGTTGCAAGTAGGAAGACAATGTGATCACCTATCCTGTAAAGCCAGTTGCACGCTTCCCCTAGTAATAAACTTCTGATAATACTGATATACTATGCACATGTGTCAACTACAATGTAGCACACATCAACTAATAGCAAAATAAATGTAAATAATATTTAAAAAAGATTATTATGTGATGCTTAGCATTTTGCTAAGCAACAAATGTAAAAACATTGATTGTAAATAAATAACATATTAAAATAACTTATTGTAAAAGACAGTTGGAAGATTATCTTGTACACACTCCCGGGGGGGGGGGGGGGGGGTTACTGACTGTCCTTTCGGGTATAACTGTGCAGACAGCACTTGCCAAATCATACCCTGTTCTAACCAGAAAACATTGAAAAACATACCCTGTTCTAGACCGTATAAAAAATAGATGCTGTTCTAGACTGTATCTTAAACAATTAAATAAGCGATCCTGTACTAGACAAATACTTTGTTTAAAAAAGACCCTGTTCTCACCAGCAGGGCATGAAAAAGCGACCCGGTTGTAACCAGCGGGACATTTAAAAAGGGACCCTGTTCTAACCAGCAGGGCATGAAAAAGGGACCCTATTTTGCGGCATACTCATACCACTAAAAATATAGGAAGTAACCCCCGGGTACGCGCTATACATAATAATTACAACTATTCCTAACTATACTCACATCTAATTTCATTACACAGTGAAACATGTGTCGATAAAATTATCTTGCTTGCACAGGTCAGTTGCAGGAGTGGAAATAAATCTTTCTTGCAGTTCTAAATTCGTAAAATAGTAAATAGTGTCGTGTGGTTTTTTTTAAGAATTTTTATCGTTTATACCGAAATCTTGCATCAGAAAGGTTTGAATTAAGGTAAATATGACTTGTCAACATGTCTGTTGAACACGTCGTCTTAACTTACTTTTCGATACACCTCATGGATTGTCCATGCTGGTTCCTTCATTGCAAACAGACAACAATACATAGCAAATGTTGAAACAGGGATCCAGAATATAATATGTTTCCGTTCGGATGATTTTTTTTAAACGGACGTGAACAGGGAACAGCATTACAAGATTTATACATGATTTAAAACTTTCACTTTCAAATTGAATTGACATAAACAAGTTCTGGTTTGTTGTTTAACATAACAACGTAGGAAAATTCTATATTAAGAAAAGAACAAGTTGAAGCATAAACCGGAACCACGTGTATTAAAGGCGTGTTTGATTGCTACATGTAAACCCCAATTGCACGTGCAAATCATGATGTATCCGTTGTATTATTTAATTTGTCGCATTTCGCCGGAAGAGGTACAAGACATAACATCAAATGGACAGACTACCCTCCACGATGAATGAACCTGCAAGAGAGTACTTTTGGGGTAAAATTATATTGAATTGGACCAAGGATTTCAATAGTTAAAAAAGACATTCTTGATAAGACGCATTTTATTTCAGTATTTTTGTTAGATACACTTAATTTTAGCGTAACAAATCATAAAGAACAAATATGAAATGATATTAATTGTCCTATGGGCTCTCCGAGTTATACCTGCTTAGGGAGCAACCATTTAACTTCAAGGAGGGGGGTATGGTTGTTCGAGTCATAATTTTTTTTCGCGCATATCAAGTATATTTAGTTTTTCAACACTATCAATCAAATTATTTTTTTCTATTTAACACTATAAGTATAAGGTATGGGGAAAATCTGGTTTCAGAATATTTTTTTTCATCAAATTGGGGATCAGAATATTTTTTTAGAAAAAAAAAACCATAACCCCCCTTGAAGTTAAAAGGTCGTTCCCTTAACCGTCCAAGGTTTTCTGCATTTCATATTGCAGTGAAGTCACCAATCCAGTTCACCTTGACCACAAAATATTGTATCAACATGCATTTAAGTATGTTTTTTTCTCGCACGTATTAGGACCCAAAAGGAACCTGCAACTATTATTGTCTCACCAAATTCACCTGTAAACAGCCGTTTTTTAGGGCTTTTTATCGTTACTATTTTTCCATCTTCTCTTACAGGATTGCCTATTGATTTTCTAATAAAAATCATGACATTGGGAATGATTGGTTGATTTTGGAGATCAATGATTATAGGGTTATTTTTTTCCCCTAGTTTTGTCGAGTAAATAAACCCCCCCCCCCTATTTTTATTATGTGAACGTTTCATAGTGATCTTCGGGTTGGAACCCCCTTTTCAGAATGGCTGGATCTGCACCTGGAAAGTACATTGTTTGTACCTGGTACATAGTTTTTACTGATAATTTAAACCAGGAGTTGTATGATGCAGGATGTTGCAGTGGGTGGTTGTTTTGGCCAAAAAAAATTTTTTTTTACGGTTAGCAGACCGACCCTACAGGCTACTTTTGAGCGCCGACCCCAAGTCATTTTATTTCCGTCCTAAAGTGAAAAAATTAATTGAACTTGTGTCAAAAGCAAAGTTGCCAATAAAAGATTGTTTATTGATGTAACCTTTGGCCTTGGTGCGTTTTTTGCTTTTTTTTTTTTTTATCAAATTTGATTTTATTGTTTTCCAGAAAAATGTTTATATTCTTCATTCAGTGTCACAATTTAATAAAATTTGTATAAACGTTTCTATTAGTAATGTCTTTGACAAGTTTGAAAATGGTACAGATCAATTATTTTTACAGGAATTGTCTCACTTTTATATGTAAATTGTATTTAACATAGCACTCTCACAACTACATTTCTTATCAGATTTCTATGGAATTCTATATCCGTCTTGTATCAACAAGGTCTTGGAAGAGTTTGACAATCATTGCCAATCTTTTTAAGAGACCACATATAAAACATGATAGAGATAGAGACTTCAATGGTTTTCGGAGCACCTCTAAATAATTGTCTGATGTATCAATCTTTCGAAGTATGTAACAAAAGGTAGTTTAAAATCATGAAAAGATGTCCACTACAAGGTAAACAGCTCCGGCTAGTAATGACTTTCTTACTGAATTTATATATTTGGTATCTTCAAAACATGACTCTCACTGTGCTTAAACAGCTGTGGGTAACTTAAGTTACTCACAGCCCAAGATTGTGTTGATATTTAATTGATACAAAATCTACTCTTTGCGACGTTTTTCATGCACTATGTAAATATTGATAGGATTCTAGAATAAAGATATCACTTTCCATTACGATAAATTTGTTAATTTTGATTTAGCTTAAATGCAAGGCCAACTTAAAAAAAATGCATAAGATGTCCGTTACTTTTTGGTCAAAACTAATCAGACTGTCCGTAACTTTATTTTTGGATGTGGGTAACTTTTGTTTTCAAAATTGTTAGACTAATAATTTCAACAATTACAGGACAATAAACACTATCAAACCCCTTAGTTATTACTTTGGATGCATTAATGACATTGTTACATCATTATAGTTATCTTACACATGTTTAAAGTGTTTAATTCTGGACTTTCCAATTGACCATTGGAAGTCACGTGTAAAAAATAGAATAATTGTTGTAAGGAGAATAAAAAAGTGTCCTAATTTGTCTTCTTTTTTTTTTTTTCTCGAGATATTCATTTGTTATTTGATCTCAAATTTATTCTGTAATGTTCAAAAACATAATACATAATAGGCCTGACCTATATATTGTTGCACATTTGCAAAAGCCACCATCAAAGACAAAGGTCACGAACTTCCAAGCATGTCTATTTATTTTTTGGGTCACAATATGATACATAGACAGATTGACCGTTTCTAAAGCTATTCGTCAATTAAGTGTATCAGACTGTTTGTAAATAATTAGAGAATATTTACATTCACAGTTGATAATATTTGCTCCATTGAAGGTTGTGATTTTTTTTTTCGTTTCAAGTTAGGGTAGCGAACTTCCAATCATCGAGGATAATACCAGAAATCATGGTATTTACAAAAGAATTATATCATACTAGAAATCAACTTTATTTCTGATTATATATTCGATACAATCTCTATCATATGTTTAAACATTACATCCACGAATATCGATTCTTTGAAAGTTACGACTGGGTCTATTGTACTAAAATATATGTCCCAGTTTACAGACATCATGTTAAAGTTAGGGACATCCCTATTGGTATAATGAAAAAAAGTTACGGACAAGTTCAGATTTCAAGATACGGACATCCTAAGCGTTTTCGCAAATCGTCTTGTGATCGTTTATTTTGTAGTATTTAATCACCTTTTACGTTAGGAGTTTCCCTAAAAGATTGATACAACTTTTTAATTACAGAACATTAGTGTTGTATTCATGGTATTGCTATTATATACTATAGGAGAGAAGTTTCTTACCAACGCCAGGTGGCTCCATCTTAGGCTGTGGGTTACCCACAGCCATTTAAGAACAGTGACTCTTAAAGCTCTCAGAATGCTGGGTTTTGCATCTTATTTTTGGGTAAAGATTACATGAAATGCAATCAAAACCCTATGGTACTGACTTGATATCTATATCTTCCAAGGTTGATCACTACCTTTGATAGTTCAACAGTGATCGGGAAGGACGTGCGCCTTGCACCAATTGCGCTTATCGACCAGAAATGGCGCATAGAGTGACAAATGTAAGCGCCCGCGTGGCGCATGATATTTTTCACTTCGTTTTGAAACGTTGAGATATCGTCAAATGGATTTCCGATCGTATTTCGTGTCGCCATATGTGAGTACACAACTGTGTCGTGTTTACTCCAATGATAGGAGCACCTATATAATTTTGGGACGTCTCGGGTGTTTTCCTATGGTAATAATAGCAACATGCGGTATGACTGATTACCCAAAAAACGTAATTAACCATCATTCATGATATAATTTTTTATAAACAACTTTAAATTTGTGAAAATTGGCTAGTACAGGCGAGAATTCTTCTCTAATTATAATCTTTTAAGTAAGCTTGCTATTATTTCGATTGAAAAATCCAAAAGCCTTTTTATGAATAGCATAGTATTTGTCTCCATAAAAGGGGCTTAACTGTCTTTGTCAATATTTTTGGTCTTTGGCTCGTTTTGACATTTTATAAACATGCCTTCATCGAATTGTTGTTGTGTCTTATCAATTAACGTTGCTCTCTACTGTTATTCTTGTCATCGTGATGAAGTAATAATAATACAAATGCAGAGGAAATGCCAGAAACGTCCTCTAATACGGAACGTTTGGAGTAAGTATGGTATCGACGAAGACCCAAATTTAATGGAAAAAAAACCATGAACATGAACAATTCAAGGGAACAGTACCAGTTTTAACATTGTAAATAAAGGTTATCGTAAATATTGCCCGGTTTGGAAGAAGTTATTGTATATTCATTGAAATTGAAATTACAAAATCACAGGAACAATATCCATGATATTAATTAGGATCATACTTGTAAGTACAGTGAAATATACACTTTTTTATTTATTTTTTATTGTAAACGAATGGCCCACTCATTTGACAACATGGCCCATTAATTCTAAAAATGGCCCATTGAATTTATTTTTGGGGGGCCCTGGGCCCATAGAGAAAAAATCCTTCCAGATCACTGGTTCAAACAAAATAGTTCAGTGAAGTGATCATTATTTAGATCTTATCCAGTCGATGTCAAGCAATTTATTGATGATATGTTATTCTTTGATATTTTTAACAGTTGCAATATGATGTGTATTTGAATTACCATACTTGTGTAGAAACCATTTTTTATGAAAAATTTCACAATTAATGCATGGTGTATGAATCTGTTATAAAAATAGGTTCAACTACAAATGTTCAAACATGAACAAAGAAAGATAACTCCAACTCAAATTTTTAACTTGCTTAGAGCAAAAATAATTCAATGTTTTATTGAAAAATTCACAAAATTGCAAAATGAATGCAGTCTTTACCCTTCAGTGCTCACAAGCACTTTGATTAAAATTGTTGGGGGGAGTGACATGGCTTGGAG